TTTTTTTCATTGATTCTAGAGAGAGAGGAAGGGAGAAGGAAAGAGAAAGAGAAACATTGATCAGTTGCCTAAGCAATCTGACAGGGATGGAACCCACAACCTGTGTATGTTCCCTCACCTGGAATCAAACCCATGACCCTTTGGTGTGTGGGAGGACACTCTAACTACTGATCCATACCGACCAGGGCCTGGAGGTACACTTAAAAAAATTTTTTCAGATCTGCCCTAGCCAGGTTGCTCAATTTGTTGGAGTCTCAATCTGTACACCAAAGGATTTCCTGTTGAATTCTAGGTTAGGGCACATACTTAGGTTTAGGTTAGATCCCGGTGGGTCAGCAGGTGCAGAGGCAGACTACCGGTATTTCTCTGTCACATGGATGTTTCTCTCTCTAAAAATCAATTTTAAAAACTTCCTCAGGTGAGAATTAAAAATAAATATATTAAAAATTTTTCAGATCTAAAATTTTATTTGGTTCTTTTTTAAATTTTATTTTTCATTTACAGTTCTCATTCAATATCCTGTCCTATATAATAAAACCCTAATATACAAATCGACCAAACAGTGGAATGACTGGTCACTATGAACTGACCACCAGGGGGCAGACGCTCAATGCAGGAGCTGCCCCCTGGTGGTCAGTGCGCTCCCACAGGGGGAGCGCCGCTCAGCCAGAAGCCAGGCTCACAGCTGATGAGTGCAGCGGCAGTGGCAGGAGCCTCTGTGGGAGCACTAAGGAGCAGCGAGCTGAGTGGTAGGGAGCAGCAAGCAGGCAGGCAGTAAGGAGCAAGGAGTCCCGAACTGCCAGAGGGCACAGGCCAGGCTGAGGGACCCTCCCACCCCCAGTGCATATTTTAATACAGAAGTATACTTTTAACATATTATATTTAAATATAATATAGTCTGTATTTTACAATTTCTATCTCCGAGAATTTTCATGTCTACTTCACTTTGTTGCCAATACCTCCTCTATCATCTTTCATCTTATAGTTTAATCTTTGTTGTGTATTTTTATATTTTCTACATGTAATAGACTTAATTTTAAAATATTTTTAGTTGGCATAACCTGTCAATACAAATCTTTTTCTCACAATATTATTTTGTTATCCCGCTGATAATAGTCTATACTCTTCAGATGTTCTTGTCTGCTTTTGTTACTGCTTGCTGTTAAATATATTTCTTTAACTCTCAATACTCTTGTGGTCACTAATTCTAAGTGTGTGGCTGATTCATACACTAAAGAATGTCAAAAGACAGTATTTGAAGATAAACATTACCTTAAGAACATTTGCTCTCCATTTTCAAAAATAATAAAAATTAGGAAACTTAAAGGCTGCCATCTTCTTTTCAAAAAAGTCTTCTTTAAATTTATTTTTCTAAACAATAAGGTGTTTGTCTTCTTTTATACCTATTATATACATATATAAAAAATAAAAAGTTTTTGAAAATTTTTCTACTCACCTTTGCAAGGCCACAATCACATTGTTCACCTTTTTCCAATATTCCATTGCCACAAATATACTCTTTTTTTTTGTAAACTGGCTTAATAGGAAGGCTGTTACGAAGACAGTCAAGACTAGAATTTGAAGCAAAATATTTAAACTCATCCAAGCTACAGGTACTAAAATCCTTTACACCCCGAGAGTGCCTAAAATATTAAAAAAAACATGGGTATGATAAAAAATATTGCTACATATTTCTACAGTTCTCCTAATGTAAGGCAATTTAAGAGAGATTTAAAGAGCATTATTTTTCATAGAAAACAAAACGCACATTTTCAAAAATATTAATTGCATTGCTAATATGTTTAACACACTTTTTCAATGTCACCAAGAAAATTATTGTAATGTAAAAACAGGAACTGTTTTATATTTACTTACTTTCCCAGTGCCAAACAACTGAATTTAAAATTTTTGACTTCAGTATTTAATATACTTTAATCTATTTAATATTATTTTTATACTTTTTCCTATAAATGCCAATATGAATCACTTCATAGTATATTTATTAATAGTATTTACTACTCTTTATTAATATTAACTTTAATAGTATATTTTAGAGCTTTTTTTCTCTCCATAAGTGAACACTTTTTGTTGTAATGTACCCCGCGAATCACAGAAGGACGCCTCAAGAAGTCGAATTAAAGAGTCACATTTATTGCAATCCGGGACTATGAGGGGTCATTCCCAAATCTCATAGTAATAAGATGGTGGCAAAACCAGACTTATAGGCAAAACTCACAAAGGTATTGATTACATCCCAGGGTTTGGAATGAGGACCCTGGTTTGCACAAAGCAGTTACAGAAGCGAGATTGAGCTGATTAGTTATCTACAAAGATTGTTTATAGTTTTGGGTCTTTGGACCTCTGAGTTGACAGAAACATTATTTAGAGCCCTCGGGTCTTGGGTCCACTGAGTTGACAGAGAAACATTATCTGGAACCCTCAGGTCTTGGGACCACTGAGTTGACAGGGAACGCACCACCTGTGGCCACTAAAACAATTTAGGGTAATTGTGCTGTCCTGTTTCCCAGGTACAGAAGAATGTGCTTCGATAACCAGTAAGATCACAATCAATGGGATAGTCATTCAATCAATAAGGCATTCAATCAAATGGGATGATTTATACAATTCAGAAAATCAAAATAACCTGTCCATTGTTAAACAAAGCAAATAGGTACCATACTTCATTTTCAAATAAAAATTAGTTGTTTGAGCTATTATGGGAGGAGCAGTAGGAGTACCTGTCCTGACAGAATAAAAGCTGTTAGCACAAGCAATGTGTTTCTCTCTTTCTCTCCCCTTCCTCTCTCCCTTCCAAAACATTTGAAAGAATATGATTTAAGAGACTAAAGACTGTGCCCTAAACCAGGGATTGAGAAACTTTTTCTGTAAGGAGCCGATAGTAAATAGTATCAGCTTATATGCTGTATACTCTCTTGGAACTAAGAAATTTTCCACTATAGTCCGAAAGAAGTCATACATAATATGCAAACCAATAAGCCTGGATGTAATAAGATTTTGAAAGGAGTTTTTAGGGGTAAAATAGGCAGGTTTAGGACGATTTAGGAATTAGGGGGCCGATGAAGGAGACCCGTGGTGCAGAAACTTTTTCTGTAAGGAGCCGATAGTAAATAGTATCAGCTTATATGCTGTATACTCTCTTGGAACTAAGAAATTTTCCACTATAGTCCGAAAGAAGTCATACATAATATGCAAACCAATAAGCCTGGATGTAATAAGATTTTGAAAGGAGTTTTTAGGGGTAAAATAGGCAGGTTTAGGACGATTTAGGAATTAGGGGGCCGATGAAGGAGACCCATGGGGCTGCAAAGCTGGGAGCTGCCAGAAGGCATAAATTTACAGAATAAGGGGGCTGGGAGCTGCCAAAAGGTATACATTTACAGAATAAAGGGAGAGGAAGACACACATTTACAGAATAAAGGAGAGGAATCCACCCATTCACAGAATAAAGAAGACGGTATTAGAAAATAGAAAAATAAAAGGGAGAAAAAGAGAGAACACCACTTGGGGTTTGAGCTCTGAAGCCGCTATAGTGACCAATCAGAGGGGATATCAGGAAACAAAGAACTGCAGCCTTTATAAGCCTTAAGAAAGAGGGACTTGGTGGATCTCTCTCCCCCTCTGTGCTTGTTTCTCAATAAATTTCCACCTTTTTCCGTGGCTTCATTCTTCGAATCTACCTGGACAATAACCTGGAATATCATCTTTGCATACTGCCCAGAGGAAAACAACACATTCCAGTTTAATTCCTGTGTTTCAGTTTTATTTACAAATCAGGTAGCCCGCCAAATTTGGCCCATGAATTATTGTTGGCTGATCTCTGCCCTATACTAAAATCTACTCAGTATCAGTTCTAACAAGCCTAATTCAAGCTCCGACAGGATCTCCAGAGGAGACCAAGTTGGAAATACCTTGAGCTTCCATATATCCATACAAGAAGCCCAGTGCACAGTGCACTAGTGGGGTCCCTCAGCCTGGCCTGTGCCCTCTTGCAATCTGGGACCCATTGGGGGATGTCAGACTGCTGGTTTCAGCGCGATCCCCAAGCTACAGCCCCAAGGGATGTAGCAGTGTGAGAAGAGGCAGGCAGCCGGAGAGGAGCCCAAGCTGGGGCCAGGTGCCATGCCGCTCCCGCTCATCCCAGCCCCGCAGTGCCTGCTGCCACCACTTGGTAGTGCTGCCACGGAGGCAGGAGAGGCTCCTGCCACAGCAGATGTGCTCGCCAGCCATGAGCCCAGCTTCTGGCTGAGCAGCGCTCCTGCTGTGGGAGCGCACTGACCACCAGGGGGCAGCTCCTGCATTGATGTCTGCCCCCTGGTGGTCAATGCACATCATAGCGACTGGTCTACTGGTCGAGCGGTTGACCAGTCGTAACAGTCGCTTAGGCTTTTATATATATAGACTAGCGGACCGGTGCACACATAAAAGCAAGCAAATAAAGTTCAAAATGATTACCCAATAGTTGAATTGTCTAGTAGAAAAAGAATCAATGTTTTTCAGAAGGAGGTAGGAGAGGCCAAGCTTTCTATTATAAAACAACCATATCTAATATGCTAATAATAATTAATTAATAATAGACATCAAATAAATAAGGAAATGTGATCCATACCCAATAAAAAATGCAATCAATAGAAATCAACACTGAGATTGCCCTAGTGTTAAAGTTGGCATACAAATACTTAAAAGGAACTGATATTATATATTTTAAAATTTTAACAAAAAATGTTTAGCTAATTCAGTGAGATTACAGTCTTATACAGTGAACATGCAAGGAATAGTACAAATTCAATTTACATTAAATTATAGAGCAAGGTAAACTAACTATAGTGGTAGAAATCAGATTAGCTGTTGCCTGGGGCCAGTGTGGAAGGTAGAAGGACTGCTGAAGGTCACAAAAGAACTTCCTATAGAGGGAGAAAGGATGCATAGCCTGACTAACACTGTGGTTCAAAAAAATAAAAGCCTAATATGCTAAGTGTCTGGTCGACCAGTCAGCCATTCAACCAATCAAAGCGTAATATGCTAATGATATGCTAAGGACACTCAACCACTTGCTATGACATGCAATGACCACTAGGGGGCAAACAGTTGACCAATCGACGAGTAGCTATGATGTGCACTGACCTTCAGGGGGCAAACACTCCAACCAGTAGGTTAGCTTGCTGCTGGGGTCTGGCCAATTGGGACTGAGCGAGATGGGCTAGACACACCCTGGAGCCCCACAGGGCCCTGGCCAACCTCCTGTGTCCCTCCCCAGCCCCAATCATGCACCAGTGGGGTCCCTCAGCCTGGCCTGTGCCCTCTCGCAATCTGGGACCCCTCAGGGGATGTCAGAGAGCCGGTTTTGGCCCGATCCCACAGGCCAGGCTGAGGGACCCTATGGTACATAAATCTGTGCACTGGGCCTCTAGTTTATATATATTTCTCAAAAATCATAAACTTGTACAGTCAAAGCATGTCAATTTTATTATAAACAAATCATACATCAATAAAGTTGATTGCTTATGAAGTACATAAATAAAACACTCAAAAATATGGTGAAACTATTCTTCTGAGAAATTATCACAAGGAAGACAAAATAAATTTATCTACTTTTTGTTTTTATAAAAACTTAGGATATCATCTATATCAAAGGATGAAATCTATAATAATAAAAGTGCAATATGCTAATTAGACCAGACAGCTGAAAGATCTTCTAGACGTCCTTCCAGACGAAGCTACAGTGGCGGGGGCGAAGGCGGTGGCAGGGGCCAAGGCAGAGGCTGTTAGGGGCAATCAGGCAGGCAGGCGAGCAGTTAGAGGTGATCAGGCAGGCAGGCGAGTGGTTAGGGGTGATCAGGCAGGCAGACAGAGGTGGTTAGGGGTGATAGGGCAGGCAGGCAGGCAAGCGGTTTGGAGCCAGTGGTCCCGGATTGTGAGAAGGTGCAGGCTGGGCTGAGGGACATTCCCCCATGCATGAATTTCGTGCACCGGGCCTCTAGTTAAATCAGGGGTCCTCAAACTTTTTAAACAGGGGGCCAGTTCACTGTCCCTCAGACCATTGGAGGGCCGGACTATAGTTTTAAAAAAAAACTATGAACAAATTCCTATGCACACTGCACATATCTTATTTTGAAGTAAAAAAACAAAACGGGAACAAATACAATATTTGTATTTGCATGTGGCCCGCGGGCCGTAGTTTGAGGACCCCTGAGTTAAATAATAAGCAAGTATCCTTAGCTAATTAGGTCAGTATTTGCATCATTTACTGAGCATTTTTATAGGCAACTGTTATTCAGTAAAAAGTAGAACAAGTGCTTACTAGGAGCAAAAAATGAATATCAGGAAACACACATGTGAAATAAGTCAGATAGTTATTAAAATGATGAAGAACAAAAATAAAAAAAAACATATTATACAAGGGTATAAAAGACACTATTTTAGAAGAGAGGACATTTAATTTAAAAAAGAACTATGGCACTCTAGTTGGTTTTCCTCAATGGATAGGGCATTGGCCTGTGGACTGAAGGGTCCCAGGTTTGATTCCAGTCAAGGGCACACGCCTGGGTTGCAGGCTTGATCTCCAGTAGTGGGTGTGCAGGAGGCAGCCAATCAATGATTCTCTCTCATCATTGATGTTTCTATCTCTCTCCCTCTCCCTTCCTCTCTAAAATCAATAAAAATAAATTTAAAAAAAGAAACAAAATAAGTAAAAATATATTTAAAGAATATATTTATGCTTTTCCCTTAAGATTGGAAACAAGGCAAGGATATCCACTCTCACCATATCAATTCACATTGGGCTGAAGTTAATTCAAGTGTAATTAAGGAAGGAAAAAAGAATTACACACAAAAAGATGGAAAGAAAAAAATTAACTGTTCTTATTGATGAATGACAAGATCTTGCTTAGAGAAAATATTACAGAATCAACAAATAAAATCTCCTGAAACTTCTGAAGTATTTAACAATTTTGCAGCACCCAAAGTCAATGTACTAAAATCAATTATATTTCTATGTACTAGAAAAGAGCACTTTGAAGATGATAAGTACACAATTTCATTCATGATAACAAAAAAGAATACTTAAAGATAAATGCTTAATGATAAATTTAAATTATGAAATACAATTCCATTGCTGGAAAAAATTAAAGACCTACATAAATAAAGGCATATACCATATTCAAATATCAAAAAACTCCATATTATTAAGATGGCAATTCTCCCAAAATTGAACTATGCAATTAAATAATGCAATACTTTTTAAAAGCTCAACAGGATATTTTGTAAAAATTTAAAAGCTGATAAAATATATATTAAAATGCAAAGGGCCTAGATTAGCCAAAAAAGAACTTTAGAGAAGATGAAAAAACTTGGATATTTGCACTACCTGATTTCAAAATTCAATATAAAGGTACAGCAATAAAGGTAATATGCTTCTGCATAAGTGTAGACATACAGATTAGTGATATAAAATAGAGATTCCTATTAAAAATCCACACATATATGGCCACTTGATTTTTGAAAAAGTGGCCAAGGCAATTAAGTGAGGAAAACAAATGGTCTTGGAATAATTGAAAATCCATATGGAAAAAATAAAAATCAACTAAAACACATATACAGTAATTTAACTAAAAATGTATCATAAAACTGATAAAGTGTACTACATCAAAATTAAAAACATGTTCTTAAAAAAATGCATTATAAAGAGGAAATTATGTATCTGATACCCAAAATATATGAACAATTCTTACAACTCAATAAAAGCACAAAAATATATTTTGTTTTTAAAGATTGAAAAAAAAATATTTGAATAAACTCTTTATCAAAGAAGATATACAACACTATTAAACATGAAAATATGTTCACATTATTAGCTCCTTGGAAAAAGCAGATTAAAACCCATATGAGATAATATTACCTACCTACTTAAATGATTCAAATTAAACATACTGATCATATCAAGTCTTGGTGATAATGTAAAACAATCAGAACTGGCTACACAATTTGTGGAAACCAATGCAAAATGGAAATGCAGCCCCCCTTGTTTATAAAGCAAGAGAAAAGTATTATTAGTAATATTAAAATTAAAACCTTTTTCTCCTTGCTTCAAAGTCTCTCTTTCTCAATGGGTCATGGTGTTATTTATTTACAATTTAATGTCTTTCAAGATAAATAAAATGTAATTAACATGAATTGTACATCTTCATATTGTACAATGCCAGTTTAAATGCAAATATCAAAGCATTTAACTTTATGCAGAATCACTGAGATCACACAATTCATCTGGCTATAAAAATAGAAGAGCACGCTCAGGTAAAATTAAAACAATAACCAACAGAGGTCACTTGGAGATTTCCAAAATTATTCCCTAACGTCCCACATCTAAAAGGTCGGCTAACTGCTCTTCAATATACACTGAGTGGCCAGGTTATGACCACCACCCCATCAGTACTTCATTGACACTTCCAAAAATACTGACTATTGAAAACTTCCTAAGCAAATACTCTCAAGGTTTTATTATTATTATTATTTGCATAACTAATTCACTTCATTGTACTGATAGGGTGGCCATAATAATCTGGCCACTCAGTATATATATATACAAATCAGACTCTGGAAGGTAGGAAGAAGAGAGTTTACCCAGGTATGGAGGGCTTGGGAAGTGTTGAACCATTTTGGTGTGTTTCTAACGGTACTTAAAAAGAATATGTATGTAGTTGTTGGATACAGTGTTCTGTAATTGTCAATTACTTTAGTTTGGCTAATGGAAATGTAAAAGCTCCTAACCAAATAATTTCTTTACAGGAATATGTGTATTTAATAAAGAAAATTATCTTACGTTGCTTCTGGTGACATTGTGCAAACATCTCCTGAACAATAGCAGGTATCAGTATTGTCAAAACTCAATCCCATATGAAGGCTAAGCAACTGCACGATACTGACAGCATATGACTCCAAAGACGAACCCTCTACTTGCTAAATTTAAGGAAAAGAAAATGATTCAGCCAAGAACCCTATTGTTATTTAAAAAAACACACAATACTTACTATAATAAAAAATTAGTAAATGAAATTCATTTTTTTAAAGGTATCAATGCATCCAAGATACCTATGTAGATGAAATTAGTTATATAAGCATTTGGATGATAAATTTGTTAAACATGGATAAATAAGCACAAAAGTTTAATTTCAAAATACTATTACTTAAGGACAAGAGCAGCTATCTTGGAGTCTTAAACACCACATTGTATATTTCATCTTTGAATTATTTTTTTTAAATTCCTCTAATATTTTAATAATCAATTCTACATTTTTCTCTGTAGAAAGCAACCTCTGAAATAGGTCTCAATGATTTCTGCCTTCTGCTATTCATGTCCTTGAATGTAAGCTGGACTTATTGACATACTTCTAGTTAACTGAATATAGCAGAAGTGATGGGTCATCATTTCCAAGATAGGTTAGAAAAAGACTGACTTCTTGGATTCTGTTTCATTTTCCTCACTTGGGGGAAAACCAGCCAGCTATTCTGCGAAGAAGTCAGCCTAATAAGAGGTCCACATAAGTTAACTTGGAGAAGATTTTCTGGGGTCTTCCAATAGCCACGTGACTGAGCTTGGAAACAAATTCTCTCTGTGCTGAAGCCTGAGATTACCACAGGTCTAACTGACACCTTGATTTTGCTCACTAAGCTGTTCCCAAAATCCTACCCCACGGAACTACATTTTATCTGCTAAGTTTTGGTATAATCAGTTATATAGCAATCAATAGGTAGGTATTGTTGCTCTCCTTTGTATTATTTCCAGTTTCTGCAGACAGATGTTCATAGCAGCTTTATTCATAATTGCCAAAACTTGCAAGCAACCATGGTATCCTTGAGTAGGTAAACAGATACATAAGCTATGGCACATTTCAAACAATGGAATATTATTCAGCACTAAAAAGAAATGAGTTATCAAGTAATGAAAAGAAATGGAGGAACCTCAAATGCATATTACTAAGTGAAAGAACCCAATCTGAAAAGGCTACATACTGTATAACTCCAACTATATGTCATTCTGAGAAAAACAAAATTATGGAGACAATGACAAAATTTGTGGTTGCTTGTGCTAGTCAAGCTCTGGCACAGATACCAATGTCCCTTTTGCTATCTGTGCACCTACAAGCCCCTTGATTTAAATAATATTTATAAGTTGGGGTCCCAAGTTCCAGGCCCAGTAATTCCTATAACACAACAGGGCTTCAGCATCATTATAATACCACAGAGCCACAAAAATAAGACCTATATTAACACAAGAGGGTATCACCTTGAGGGTATCCACATCTCAAACAACATTACCTTGGCTCAGGATCTAACTGCTAGAAATGATATTGTGCAGAGAAAACCCTAAAGACCTCACCAAAAACTACTAGATTTAATAAATAAATTTGACAAAGTAGCAGCATAGAAAATTAACATCCAGAAATCAATGGCATTTTTGTACACTAAGAATGAGCTCTCAGCAAGAGAAATAAAAGAAAACATGTACCATTGCGACAAAAATAAATAAATAAATAACCTGGGAATTAACCAAGTGGGTTAAAGACCTGACTCAGCAAACTATGGGTCATTGAAAAAAGAAATAGAGGAAGATACAAACAAGAGCAAGCATATAATGTGTTCATAGACAGGAAGAATTAACATCATTAACATGTTCATACTAACCAAAACAATCTATAGATTCAATGCAAACCCTATTAAAATACCAATGCAGGCATGCAGACCAATGGAACAGAACAGATACCCCAGAAATCAACCCACACCTTTATGGTCAATTAATATTTGACAAAGAAGGCAAGTGCATGCAATAGAGTAAAGAAAGTCTCTTCAATAAATGGTGCTGGGTAAATTGGACAGGTACATGCAAAAAAATGAAACTAGACCAACTTATACCATAGACAAGAATAAGCTCAAAATGGATAAGAGACTAAAATATAAGTTGTGAAACCATAAAAATCCTAGAAGAAACCACAGGTAGCAAAATCTCAGACATCTCTCATAGCAATATGTTTACCAATACATCTCATAGAGTAAAAGAAACAAAGGAGAAAATAAACAAATGGGACTACGTCAAAATTAAAAGCTTCCGCACAGCAAAAGAAACCATCTTCAAAATGAAAAGGGAACGCACTGAATATGAAACATTTGCCAGTGATACATCTGATAAGGAGTTAATTTTCAAAATATATAAAGAACTCATTTAACTCAACAAAAGCAAGACAAACAACCCAATTTAAAAAAATGGACCTGATTGGATACTTCTCTAAAGAGGACATACAGACATGTGAAAAAATGCTACAAGTCACTAATCATCAGAGAGATGCAAATTAAAACTACATTGAGTATCACCTCACACCTGCCAGAATGGCTACCATCAATAAATAAACAAATAACAAACAAATAACATGTACTGGTGAGGATGTGGGAAAAAAGGAACCCTCGTGCACTGCTGGTGGGAATACAGACTGGTACAGTCATGGTGGAAAACTGTATGGAGTTTCCTCAAAAAATTAAAAATGGAACTGCCATTTGACCCAGTGATCCCACTTTTAGACTATATCCTAAGAATCCCAAAACACTAATCAGAAAGAATATATGCACCCTTATGCTCACAGCAGCATTATTTACAGTAGTAAGAAGGGAAACAACCCAAATGCCCATAAGTAGATGAATGACTAAAAAAATCTGTGGTACATTTACACAATGGAATACTATGCACCTGTAAAAAGGAAGGATCTCTTAACCTTTTTGACAGCATGGATGGACCTGGAGATTTTTTTTAATGTTTTCTTTCTTTTTTTATTTTTCTATTGTTTAAAGTATTAGATATATCTCCCTTTTCCCAGACTGACCTCCCCTGCCCCACCCTCCCCCCAGGTTTCTATTGTTTAAAGTATTAGATATATCTCCCTTTTCCCAGACTGACCTCCCCTGCCCCACCTTCCCCCCAGGACAAGCCCCCACCACCCCAGTATCTGTGTCCATCGGTTATGCTAATATGCATGCATACAAGTCCTTTGGTTGATCTCTTACCCCCCTTTCCTTGCTTTCTCTCTGAGATTGGATGGTCTGTTCAGTGTTTCAGACCAGGAGATTTTTGTGCTAAACAAAATAAGCCACTCAGAGAAAGACAAATATCACATGTTCTTACTTATATGTGGAATCTAATGAACAAAATAAACTGATGAACAAAAATAGATCCAGAGTCATGAAAGCATGGAAAACACTGACAGATATCAGAGGGATTGGGGGAGAGAGAGTGGGAAGCGATTAACCAGAGAACTTATATACATGTATGCATAGCCCATGGACACAGGCAATAATGTGATGAAGGCCTGGGTTGCAGCAGGAGCCAGGTAGAAGGCGACAAATGGGGCAAATTGGGGGACATCTATAATATTCTCAACAATAAAAATAAATTAATTAAATAAAATGGGCAATTAAAACCACAGAAGGCAAAAACAGAGAGGGGAAATTTAAAAAAACAACAACTATGAACAAGAACAATGAATAGAAACAATTCAATATCTATTTATTAAAAATTATCAACACAGTATGTAGAGAGGGAAAGTACCACAACAAGAAAAAGGCTCTATGGGACAAGTCTACAGCTAAAATCATACTCAACGTGAAAAGCTAAAAGTTTTTCTTCTAAGATCAGGAAAAAGACAAGGATGTGCTCTCTCACCACTTTTATTCAATATAATATTGGAAGAACTAATTAGAGCAATTAAGCAAAGGGGGAAAGGCATCCAAATTGGTAAAGAAGAAGTAAAGATGTCACTATTTGCATATGACATGCTATTATATATAGAAAACCCTAAAACTCATAAAACAAACAAACAAAAATGTTAGGAGTAAAAAATGAATTCTGTAAAGTAGCTGGATACAAAATTAATACACAAAAATCTGTTGCATTTATGTACACTAATAAACTATCAGAGTAATTTAAAAAAACAAGCTCATTTACAATTGTAAGATAACTGAAAATATTAGGAATAAATTTAACCAAGCTGGTGAAAGATCTCTACTCTGAAAACTATACAATATTGAAAGAAACTGAAAAGATATCCCATTAATATTGTTAAAATGTCCATACCCAAACTATAGTATAGATTCAATGCAATCCCTACTAAAAATTCCAATGCCATTTTTCATAGAAATTGAAAAAACAATGCTAAAATTTGTATAGAACTACAACAGACCCCAAAAACAATCCTGAGAAAGAACAAAGCTAGAGGCATCACACTTCCGGTTTTGAAACTATATTACAAAGCTAGAGTAATCCCAAAGTATGGTATAGCCCTGGCTGGTGTGGCTCAGTTGGTTGAGTGTCATCCTGTGCACCAAAATGTCGTTGGATCAATTCCTGGTCATGGCACATGCCTAGGTTGCGGGCTCAGTCCCTGGAAGTGGTAGGTGCAAGAGGCAAAGCAATCAATGATTCCCTCTCATATGTCTCTCTCTTTTTCTCTCTCCCCATCCTCTTTCTCTAAAATCAACAAAAACATTTTTTAAAGTATGGTATAGGTAAGGAATAGGGCCCCGAAATAAACCCCTGAAGATATGATCAACTAATATTTGACAAGGTAGTCAAGAATACTCAACTGAAAAAAGATAGCCTCTTCAATAAATGGTGCTGAAAAAACTGAATATTTACATGCAAAAAATTAAACAGGACCCTTTATCTTAGACTGCTCACAAAAATTTACAAATGAATTGAAAATTAAAATGTAAGAAGTGACCCCAGCCAATGTAGTTCAGTGGTTGAGCATTGACCCAGAAACCAAGGGGTCACCAGTTCAATTTCTGGTCAGAGCACATGCCCAGATTGCAGGTTCAATCCCCACTAGGGGGCATGCAGGATGCAGCCA